AGTAGAAGAAGAGAGAGAGAGAGAGAGAGAGAGACGAAAGGAATACCGTTCACTTACTTGCAGCTGTTTCACCTCCATATTACGAATCTGCAGCAGATCCCGCGTGATCGATACCACTTCCTTCAGGGAAGTCACCTGATTGTTCAAAGCATTAATCTGGTTTTCTTGATTCGCGACTATGCGATTGCGTTCCTCGTACATCAACGCGGTCTGTACCAGTTGCCCACGCAATTGTTCCATCGATCGTTGCAGATCCCCATCACCACCAGGACTCGCCATCGCGTCGTAAGATGCTTGCAAGGCGGCCAGCTTCGTCTCTGCATCTTCTAACTGCTTTCGATAACTGTCGCGCTCCTTCGTTCTTTTCTGTTGGTCATAAAGATCATTAAAAACTCCGCACAAATGTTAATTAATTAATTAACATAAAAAGAAATAAAAGCAAAACTCTGCTCGCGAGCTTTTAATTTATTATAGAAAGGGTAACGGGGTTTCCGTAAATAATTGAGATATATATATAATAAAATGGATAATAATTAAAAATGGAACGTGTTGTCGATATACTACTTTTTAGCGTTAACTCTCTCTGGAAAAAGGCGTGACAAAGGCGCGAAAATTTTATATAAACTTTTTACGGAAAATATGGAGATATAACTTTGTTATCAAGCCAAGGTGATTCAGTTCTTTCAGGACAGTTTGATCCACTCTCGGAGAATTCTCTCACCCGCACTTCCGCCTCCAGTCTGGATATGCACGTCGCGTTATTACCTCTCGCATTCTGCTTCGACTTATCGGCCTGAACGCAACAGGGAGGTGAGTAATAACAGAAAACATAACAAAATCCATCAATTATTTTTACTTATATTTACTTTTCCATTTTTTTTTTTTTTTACCTTGTCTTCAGTATTAGATTTTGACTGCGACGATTCTTCACTTTGAGGAACGATCGCAGGTGAACTATCACCTTCTTCAGTGGACAACCTTTCCGTTTCGGTTTGCACCACATCCACGTTTTCCGTAGTCGTATGAGCGATCTCCTCGATTATATCGGTGGTCTTTGCATCGGAATTAACAGATTTTTCTTCGCTAGATATGCTCGTTTCATCATTTGTCGCCTCCGCCGAACGCTCGCCTTCGACCTGCGCGTTTAATGTCTCTTTTGCAATTTCCTCCGCGGACGCAGTTGCATCTTCTGACGTCGCAACGGTACTTTTTACTTCGGAAACCGCGATTGCATTATCATCACGATCGGGTTTCATCGCTTCGATAAATCCCACAGTCGGTGCGTCTCCACCGGCTGTGGGATCTGCTCTTTCTACTTCAGACATTTCTTTCTCTTCTTTCCTCTGTAAGGGTGACGAAAATTGTAATTTTAATCGCGACGATCTCAACCTGGGATGCCAACATCGACACGCGAAGGAAATGGAAGAACGCAGGAAAAAAACGTTGTGACTGTTTAAGCAAACAAACGACAAATATTTTTCATTTGTTCTCTATTCCGTTCAACCAAAACCAAACAAAACGTCACGCTCAATGTTTTCATAATAACTTTACGCAATAATATTAATTTTCAATATGTCATGAATTATCTAGAGCTGTAATAATATATTAATAATATTTCGATATTTCTAACATTAATAAATTCTTTTACAATTTCTTAACAAAAATTGTTACACTAGTCATAAATAGTTGGTTAATCTGTCAATGATTTACCGGAGAAGACAATATACATATATCTATTTAATATTTTTTAACTAAAGCACTGTCATGAAAACTCCGCTGTTAAACCGGAACGACTGGACATCGAAGACTAAGCAGAAGCGTAAAGTATTTTTGGCTGTTCGCCGTTCGTTCTATTTTGAGCAGCTCAGTTGCACCTTAATATGATATATATTCATATATTATGTTACATGACATAAATTATTTATTTACGGAAGTTGTATTATTTTTGCAAATTTCTCTCATTAATATATGTATATATATATATATATATATATATATATATATATATATATATATATATATATATATATATATATATATATATATATATATATATATATATATATATATATACTAGTATATAGTAGTAGTATATATATATATATATATATATATAT